GTATTTCTCCTCTCAACTGCTATTGCTGTACAAGTTGAAGCTTCCATTTAGGCATATGTATCCTAGGGATTTGGGGGTGTGTGTGTGTTGTGTCCATGTGTGTGTGTGCGTGTGTGTGTGTGTGTCGCTATTTATATAGGTTCATATATAAATATCCTTACTTTCGCTTTTCCAAATACCTTGTATACATATATAATTTTGTATTGTTTTTGTTTTCTTGTTGCTATTGTGTTTCTTGTTCTTGTATATATAATTTTAAATTCCTGTTTCCTTTAAAATGCATTTTTGCAGTTACGCCTAATGATATTTTTCTTTTTCATTTATCCATTAATTTTTAGGGTTTCTTCTGTGCTGGGAACTCAAGGTAGAACCTAAAGCAGAAATCTTTAAACAGAAGCTGAATATCTCAATATATATGTTTATATATGTGCTTTAGGTGCCTTTAAAGATATATTCAATGTATCGATATCCTTTCATTAACTTTAGGGTTTTCCAAAATTTTGAAACTAAATCTTTTGGAAACTAAAAGAAGCTAAATTAATTTTGAGTCTCTCGTTTCTATTCAGGCCTAAAAGTTCTTTACTCGTAAAATTTCCACTAAAAATTTGTGTTAGCATTGATTTGATCCAAAAGTTCTTTCTTCTCTCCTTTTTTATATTAAAAAAACTGGCAACATTTGGACAACTGAAACCTCAAAAGAAAACGAACAGAAATAAGGGATTAAAAAAGAAACTAAATTAAAAACAAACTGAGTGTCGATTTTTTTTTTGTTTGCTTGGGGTCAATTGGCAATTTTGTATATTTTGCTATATGGTTATTAATTATTTTGTTTTGCTGTTGTCAAGGAACTTGTTAGAAATTTTTATTCTTGTTGCTGCTGTTTGATGGCTTGTTGAAATATTAAAAATAAAAAAATAATTGAAACACAAATTAACGTTTATGGGGGAACCAAACTAAGGAACTTTTGATCACAACTTAAGCGCTAAGCAAATCAAATCTTATCAACTAAACTTAATGAGTAGTAAAACCATTTAAAATGAGGGCAAATGAAAATGCATACACAATGAATTTTTCAATGATATGTGAAAAGTTTTGGATGAGTATAATCATGAATAAATGAAAGTTCAACGAAGAAAAAAGGCCAAAAGTTTTATGATTTTTTTTATTTTCATTTCTTTTGTTTTTCCACTTAAGCTGCTGTCACTGTTTATTTTCGTCTGTTGATTTTGAATTTAAATTTAATGTTTGACATGTGTGTTTGGGGTTATTTTGTTTTTCTGGTTGGTTGGCTTATTTACTTTTCTCATATAGCTTACAAATTCATTGTGTCCTGGCTGAAAATCATTTAACAAAATAATATGCGTTTGGGTAATACATTACAGAACAGAAAGTAGTTCGAACTTATCAATGAAATAAACAAAAAATATATAAATTTGTTGCCACGTTTTTTAGTTAAAATGGTTTGTTTTGTTGCTAAAGCTAAATAAATTTCATATAAGTTGGTATAATAATAATAACATTTCGCTTAAACATTTAGAACTAAATATATATATATTTTTATATATATTCACGTAGGTTCATATATTAAAAAAAAAAATTAATAAGAGACACAGAGCATGAAACATTGTGTGTGTATGTATGTGAGAGTGTGTTTGTGGGGGTTGTTTTCAGTGCATTATTTAATTAACAAAAAAAATAGCAAAAAAATTGTTTCCTTTGAAATCGAAGCCCCCAACCCCCGCCTATCCTTGTCCACCCTTTGTCTACTCATATTTCCCTGGAATGTTTTGGTTTTCTTCTCATTTCGATTTTCCCTGTTTGGTTTTCTGCGGCGGCTGTGCAAAGATTTTTTTTTGGTCTGGCTGTGCCGAAAATAATATCAATTGTTTACCCATTTTTGGTGTCCAATTTCCCCTACTGAAATGCAATTAAAATTATTAAGAAAGCTTTTGGTTTTTATATAATTAGTTTATCCATTACTTGTATCGTTATTAATTGTTTTATAATTTTGTTTCTAAAAGGCCGAAAATCACAATTTTGTTTTGCTTTCTTTTTCTTCATTTGTTCCTAAAGGTTAAATTTTGTTTTCTTTATGCTTGATTATATTGGATAATTGTAATAATGCAGATATCCGTTGTGTTTGCTTTCGTTTAAACATCACAATTATTGAATTGATGCCGGTTGCTTCTACTCTCCTAAAGTCCTCTAATACTGCATGAGAAAAGTAAGCCAACAACAAAGGTGAAAAATGGCAACGCTTTTCCTCGCTTTTCCAAAATGCAAAGCAAATAATTCTCATCCCCTCATTTTCATTTTTTTATGTTTTTGGTTAAATATTTTGTTATCCATTAATTATTTACTATTCTTGTAATGCTATCACAGCCAAATTGTTTAATCCAAAAGTTTTTGTGTTCGTTTCAGTTTTTTCATTTTTTGTTTCTTGCCAAAAGTTTTTCTTTATTTTTGGTTTAAAATTTAGAATTTTGAATTTTGTCTAGCGTGCTTTGTGTGCGTTTGTTGTTGCCTCTTTTTCATAATATTTGTTATATATAAAAATGTTTTTAAATGTTTTCATTTATTTTTCTTTTGCAGCTTGCTGTTCCCAATCCGTTGCCAAAAATCGGAAAAAAATCTTTGCCCCCAACCGCAGAAACGAGTTAATGATTTCCCCTCGATTTTCACGCTTAGCCCCAGCGACAAAAGATATTCACAAGCTTCCTTGGTTTTTTATAGATAATTTTTGTTTTCATTTGTTTATAATTTTGAGATCGATTTGCATTTCTTGTTGTTTCGTTTGCTGTTGTTGCCGGGCTAATCACTAAAGTGGGTGGAAAAGGACTCTTTAGCAAGGATCTGCGGAGCTTCGGGTTTTCATTAAGCCAAAGTAGAGAATTCGTGATAACGTGATAACACAAAAAATTTATAATTACTTATTTAACGCTTGGGTATATCTAAGCTTTTCCTTTTGCTTTAGTTTCTAGCACAAATTCTTTATCATAAAGCCTAAAGGGTGTGGTTTTTTCAAAGCAAAGTAAACTTGGTTGGTAAGGTGAGTGGTACAAAAAAAATACAAAAATAGAGAAATTATGTGAGTTTTTGCGTCAAGAACTTTTATGGGTGATCTTTAAGCCAAAATGTTGTTTTCATCGCTACAGCTACCCTTAAGTGGTATTTCTAGTGTGTTTTTCCCTCTACTACTCATATACATATATATATATATTTTTTTGGTTTATGTATAAGGTTTTTATAAATATCGTTAAGATCACAGATATTCTATGTAATTCTGCTGCTGCTGCTTTTCATTTACTCATTTTTGCATTTTTGCATTTTTCTCAAATTTTATCTGAATTCCAAAAATGTCACTTTTATCGCTTTCTGCATCTGGTTTATATAGATATATAAATATTGTATATAGATATATGTATATGTTACTGTATAATAAGTTCTGTGAGTGTATAATACGCGTGTGTGAGCGAGGGGATCGGGGGACTAAGTTGCACTAACTCACTATCGAAAAGAGTACTCTATATAGCGATTCGATCTGTAGCCGATCAGCCTGTCTGTTTTTCCTTTTTCCTTTTGTCTTGGTGTGTGTTGGGATATGTATCTTCTACTGCGTTCACTTGCGCAAAAGTAAAAACCGAAGACGCACAAAAGAATGCTACCATTAATGAAGTGGTGAATTGTAGAATTGTTGAATTCTTGAATCGGTGTGTTGGTGTATTGATGCTTTTGGGATTCCCGAGTTCACTTTGCTTTTACTTGAATTGAAAATTTGGTTTGTGTTTTGGATTGTGGGTGCTCACCAGTTCACTTTGCTTTTACTGATTTTGAGTGTGTTCTAGTTTCGATCGGGGACAGGGATTATGTTTACTTTAAGCTACTTTAACGCATTATTATCATCATCAACATTCTACGTTATCGGATCCTTCGGCTTCGGCTGCTACTTAAAAAGTTACATCACGTGTGTTCACTGTTCTTTTCATTACGTTTACGTTTATGTTTATCGTTATCGTTAATCGCTATCGTTAGCATTACTAAATCGTATTCAATTAGATCAATTTTATCATGTATAGTTAGCAATTTTTTATGTTTTTAATATTTTTGTAAATTTCTTTTCAATTTTTTTTTGCGCTTTTTCATTCTTGCCTATATGTCTTACATTCTCTAACATATACTTTGAAAAATATATATATCATATATATATATATTTTTTTTATTTGTTTTTGTTTTCTTTTTGTTTTTATTAGATTCCTGCTACAACTCTCATGCTGCGCTTTAGCTGTTTTCCTGGGTAGAAAACACGTTTCTCTCTTTTCTTGCCATCCAAAAAGAAGGGATAAATCTTTCCCTATCATTTCTGCTCATCTGTCTACAAGGACTCATCCTGTATCATCAAAAAAAAAAACAAGTTTGCTTCTTGGTATAAACTTCAACAATTCGACAATATGCTGCTATATAATTATTGTATATAATGTATATATTAATATAGATGTTTTGTATATATATAGGGATATATATATATACGGTTATAGCCTGCCTGCTCTATTGTGTCTGTGTGTGTGTATTATGTTGTGTTCGTTTTGGTGTTGGTGTTGGTGTGTTGCTGTCTCTTTCCTATTTGCTAGAGTTTCTGCTTGCCCAAAACTTTCAGAACTGATGCCTCGTTTACATAATTAATAAAATATATACATATGTATATACATGGATTCAACGGTATATACATATATGTGGGTGTGTGTTTGTGTGTGCATTGGTGTATTGTTGTATTGTTGTATTGGTCTCTCCTCCTCCTCCATCTTCTTCTTCATTTGCATCCTTTAAGTAAGTCAAAGTTCTTGTTGGATCGTCCTCATCAATTGTTGTTGTAGTTGAAATTGTTGGTGTTGTTAATGTTGTTGTTGCTGTTGTTGTTGGTGTGTTGCAAATAGTTTGCGTTGTTATTGTGGTTGTTGTTGTTGTTGTTATTGTTGTTATTATTATAGTAGTAATAGTAGTAATAATAATAATTTAATAACAAACTAAAATCGTTTCACTATTGCGGCAACTCATCCTTTGTATCGACCGGGCTGCTGGGTGACAAAAACTTGCGCACGTACTTGGGAAAATGCGTTTTCTCGTGCGCCTTGAGTATCGTTGAGCGCGAGAAAGTTTTCCCGCACATATTACATCTGAACGGCCGTTCGCCTAAAATGCGATTTCCCAAAAAATGGAAGGAAATCGGGGAAATACGTATAGATATAATAAAATTGATCATGTACACACAAATTTCAGATGGCGGTTGATAATGATGGGGCCTAATCTAGTCTACTAACTTTTATTATTTTTGAAGGAACTTTTAAATTTATGTTCATTTAAGTATAATTATTTGGAAACATATTTGAAAGAGCTAGTATAACAATACCAGTGTTACCAGGTATTAATAATTGGTACAAAAAACGGAAATTGAAGTCCTTATGTGCGATTTTTGAAACTGTATTACGTATACGTAATTTTAATGCGTTTATAAATGTTGGTTTGATCGATAGCTAATTGACTCTTCAAAAAAAATAAACTGTGAAAAGGGACTTTTGGGCGATATATGATATATGCATTTCAGGGGTACTTGTACATCTATAGACTTACCGGTGTGCACGCGACAATGATCTTTCATGTGGTGGCGCAGCTTAAACGCTTTGCCACAAAACTCACATTTAAATGGTCGATCACCTGTATGTACCGACAAATGCGTGATCAGTGATGTAACATCGGGAAAACTTTTAGCACAGAACTTACACATGACAACACTATTCGGATCACTGGACGCGGCGCCCAGCAGCGCCGCTGACTGCGATTGTGCAGCGGCCGCCGCTGCCGCCGCCGCTGCTGCTGCGGCGGACGTGGATGGCGACAAGGAGCCTGAGGTGGCGGTACCGCCACCACCGCCACCACAGCCGCTGCTGCCGCTGCCACCCGTTGCCGCTGCAGCCCCCGTGCCACCGCCACTTCCGCTTCCGCTGCCGAGCATTAGGCCACCGCCATTTCCGGCGGAAGTCGCCGAGCGGGAAACCGCACCCTGTCCGCCGCCACCGCCTCCGCCGCCAGAACTTGCCTCCAGGCAGCTGGCCGTAAAACTCTGGAACGTACAGCCGGCGCTGGCCAACGAGAGGGCCGCCTCCATGTCGATGCCAAAGGCGGCGGCCAATGCCGCCACCTGCTCCTGTGTATCGCTGCCGGAAGTGGCCGCCATCGCGGCGGCGTTCATCTGGAAGGCGAACGGCGATTGTAGGCCGGCGGCGGCCATGTTGAGATCGCTCAGCAGGTGCGAATGGAGCAGAGCCGTGTTGGCTGGCTCGCGGTACTCGAGCGTCTTCAGCGAGTGCGTCAGCAGGTGGCGGGTGAGTTTCGATTGGTTGGGGAAGGCCAAGCGGCAGTAGATGCACGAAAACATGTGCAGGGGCGGCGGCGGGGGGCTGTGCGGGGGCTGCTGCTGTTGCTGCTGATGCAGCAGGGCGGCTGCTGCGGCAGCTGCTGCGGCCGCTGAGCCACCGCCCGCCCCAACGCCCACAGCGTGTGGTGGGGGCTGTTGTTGTTGGTGGGGCGATTCGGACGTTTCCTGGAACAGACACCAAACAAAAATCCAACATCAACTTCTTTACTTGCTTTTCTTTCGGTTTTTTTTTGTTTTTTTTTTGGTTTGGTATTTTTTCTATGGTTTCGGTATTTTTCTAGGTTTTCGGTATTTAATTGCATTTTGGATATTTTTCAGTTTCAGTTTTTGCTGGCAATCGATTTGAATCTCTAGTTTTAGCATCGCCTCTCTGCTGGTCTTGAATTTTTGCTTTTCTTCGTTTTCTTTGTCTTTGGCAAAACTAGTATTTTTCTAACGGAAACCAAAAAAATAATCATACAATTATTTGTTTACTTGGAGTGAGTGAGAGAGAGAGAGAGAGAGAGTAAGAGAGAGAGAGAGAGTTATATATAGGATGTTCCAAACTAAGACAACGTAAATTATGCATTTAAAAAGAAGATAATTCACAGAGTATTTACTTCGGCAACTTGCTCTCCTTACATCACTGTCGGTAAAATAAATCAGCGTTGGAACTCTAGTATTTAAGTTGTACATGAGCGTGGGAGAGATAGGTAAAAGGAAAATTAGGAAAAAAACAAATTACAAACTTTACAATTGTCGAGAAAAAAATAAAAAAAAAAAAAAAACAGAAAATTAAGGCAAGGAACTGAAAACGAAATCAATGAATCAATGTCATCAGAGAAGAAGAATGGAAAACTTAGGGGCCTGGCAGGCCCTGCAATGCTCTCCTCCGGCTCTGCGCCTCTCCCTACTCCGCCAGATTTGGGTCTGGACCAGTTCTTGGGCCGTGGACCAGGCCTAAACCTTGGCCGAGTGCTTCAAACGTGTCTCAAACCGTTGGATGGATGCCAAAAAAACAAGAGGGGGTTTCAGCATTTGACTATCGTTGTGTATTTCGCTTGTTGTTTTTCATTTTCATAGTTATTGCTTTACAAGAATTGCATTAACAAAGTTTCTGGTATTTATATCATTTTCGGTATTTTTGGTACTTTTTTTTTTGGTTTTCAAGAAGTTGAATTTCGATTTTTGTTTGGGCGTTGTTCGAAAAACGTCGCATAATCGTACGTTAGATATTGATAAAGCTTTTTCATTGCTTTCTTTTTTGATTTCGGTTTTACATTTTAGCTTTTTGTGTTTTTTTTTTAAATATAGTTTTTGTTTGTGTAAACTTATTGTTAAAATTTGTTTTGTTTTGTTTTGTGTTTTTTCTTTTTTTTGCTTAAATTTGACGCTTTGACCAAAATTTTGATCAAATTTGGAACGCGGTACGCTTTATCGATTTAAAAGTTTAAATTTGATTGAACAGTGATTTTTTTCGTACTTCAATTGGATTGTCAAATCAAAAACAAAAACGTTGGGATTCGGGTTTATTCATTCGCCTGACAATCAGACGAAATTAAAAAATTTGACTTAACTAAAATAAAAAAAAGAGCTATTCACCACTCACACCTTGCATACATTTTCGAATTCATTTTATTGGATTCTTTTAAGAATTTGGAAAAAAACTTGTATCGTTTTTGCCTGACTTGACAATTTTGCGCACGAAAAAAATCAATACAAATTATAATGGTTAATCTGTACATAAATGTCCATAAATGCTTAAACAAAAATAATACAATTTGGAATAAAAAAACAAAACGAAAAAAAAAACATACAAAATTTTGGGTTATTGGAGAAAACAAACTCGGGGGGGCCAAATCGTGTTTTTTGTGTTTTTCAAATTTCGTGTGGTTCAATAAGTCTCAAATCAAAACAAACAAAATATGCAATTGAAATAAGTTAAATCAAATCAGTGGCTTAACTTAACTATTTTCAAGAAGTTTTTCCATATGCCGCACTCTTTGATCGCATTGAACTCAAATGGTCGGATGTTACAGAAAAAAAACACAAAAATAAAAGGCACATTGACTCTAACGAATGGTTATACAAGTCATGGGAAATGTTCATTCAGCACAGCCATGTTCAAAAAACGCAGATCAACTTCTTGACAATGTCAATATTATCAAATCAAAATAAATGTGAAAAAACAATCAACATTTTTCTTTTTTCTTATCACATTTCTTTTATACTCAATTTGTATCTTTTCATTAATTTTCTTCTTTTTTTTTACAAATATGTGGCACAACGAAAAATAAAAAAAAAATGCAACAAAAGGCAAGAAAGTAGGGGAAAAAGGTAATGGAAATGAAGAAAATTTAGGACGGAAAATGAAACCAAGTGAAAACGGAATTTCGGATGCGGATTCGAAGATCCATTTAGCCCAGAAGCTAAGAAACCTGCGCACAAAGTTCTATATCCTTGTGGTTGGACAAAGGGGAACGATCGAGTTTCCATATCTTAAACATAGGTGGCACAGTTGCAGTTGAGTCAGGTATTACATACATTAACTTAGGCGTACGCATGTACTGTACGTGGTATGTATATATACCTAGAGAAAGAGACAGATCTTCAGACTTATACGTATGGTATATGGTATGGTATCATCAGGAGTCACAACATTTAGTTCAAAAATTCAGATAACAAAAAAATCGACCAACGGAACAACCAAACACACATTTAAAACACACATACGTAATCCTTTCGATAGTCGATAATCGATATTCGATATCTGATATGTCTTTACTTCTGTAGAGCACAACAACAACGATAAATGATATGGAAGGAAACGGAGGCATATATTATGTATACATACGAGTAGGTTTTATATAGTAAACACAAAAATTTAACGACAGACAGAAAGAGAGACAGACAGAGCGATTGGGTTATTAATTAGAAAGAGATAGAGTTAGAAATAGAGTAGAATTGAAACCAGAATAATGAAATGAAAGTACACAACATCAATTCCATAAGAGAGAGATAGAGAGAGAGACAGACAATAAGAGCATAGAGCACAGTAGTTAAAAAAATAAAATATATCTAGGAACATAAAAGTACACACATTGAATAAGTTAAAGTCCATCAGCCAAAAGTAAAAACAAAAATTGTAATAAAAATAAAATCTTTCATGTTTTCAGGAAGACCTTAAATGGATCTCACATAAAACATACAAAAAAAAATAATGTACGTAGCTTTTTTATTTGATTTTGGTAAAATAGAATTTTTTGAACATTTAATTTAATTTGTGTTTTCGAATTTTGTATTATCTTTCAAAAAATAAAAGGAGCTCGGACTAAGGAGCTAGACTATTTAATTTCGAACTGTGATGGAACAAAAATGAAATCAATTCTTTTACTGAATTTTGCATTAAAGTAAAGCGTATCCACTTTAAATAGAATTGCTTAGAATAGGTAGTCACATTAATTATTTGAATCGAGTGAGGAAGTTGCAAAAAATGTCTAAAGGACACAATTAGCAGTTCGAAAATCGAACTAATAACAAATTGGTTAGATATTCGAAAAAAATACACACATTGGCTAAGTAAAACACGTAGAAATGATTAATTAAGGAAATGAACGATAACAAAAATGAAAACATACGTTTAGAGAGAAATGAAAGACATTTAGCTTATGGAAAATAGAACACACACATTTACCATTTACATAAACGAACAACGAACGAACGATTTATGGTAAAAGCGTTCCACATTTAGATAATACATATATATCGTTGAAAAAATAGTATTATATAGTATGTTGGTTGAGTGTGATTTGTGGGTGTGTGAGCGTGGCATGTTGGTGTGTATGTGTGAGTTAGTTCGATTTAGTTTTCTATAATTTGATTGAGATTTCGTTATTTCTCTATTTTTTTTTATTATTTTTTTTCTTTGGTTGCATTTCTTGGCAGTGATTTTTTTTGTGGTTTTCTTTATTCTTTTTTTTTGCGGTTATGTAGTTTAAAAAACACCAAAAGCGCTTTATTACGATTCTTTGTTTTGGTTGATAAATTAATGCATTATATATGTATATATATTTAGGTATATATATATTTCGGTTATCAATTGCACAACGTTCAGATCTGGACCCCTCTCTTGTTTTATTTGATGGAGAATTTGTGGTTTCTTTTATATTGCTGTACCGTATTCGTATTGATTAATAATATTAAAAGCACAACACACAGTTTGACACATTGATAATATCGATATAGATAGAGACAGAGAGACAAATAGATCGAGAGAGACAGATAAAGTGACACACAGAGCGAGAGCGAGATACAGAGTAAGTTTGAGACAGAGATAACAAGTTATAGCAAAATATTACATTTACAAGTTTGGTTTCAAGTGAAATCAAATAAAAAGGGGTTACAACAAAGGACTTTATCGTTTCAGCTAATTGTGATGCAAAGAAAGGAAAGAATTAGATTTATAAGGCTGGAAATCGGGGGATCGAATATATATATAAGTGGGTAGTATCCAAATTTTGTGCAGCGAATTTCGTTCTCATTTACAGTTTTTAGTTTTTTCAAATTTTTCGGTTATAGGGGGATTTTAGTTCAATTTTCTCACAAAGCGCAAATTAAAATATAATCTTCTGTTATTTATTTTTTGCTGTTTTCTTTTTAGCTTAGCTTGGCCAAAATGTTTGAAGGGTGTATGATTTCCATTTGATGGGCTTTATAACACATGCATTATATACATAAACATAGGGGTTCTATAAAATGATAGATGACTCTGTATTAGCGTGAGTGAATAAGCGATCTTAAAGCTATGTAAAATGATAGTTTAGTTACGCTGTTGTTGCAGTTGCCAATAGGTTTTTATACACTATTTACAATACCAAATTGAGTTCTCAACATAAAGTGCCCATTGCTATGCATGAAGCCTGCGGCGATTTTTAAAAGTTCCCCCATAAATTTAATTGAGCTCAGCTGCTTGCAGGACGTGTTTTTTCTTTTTGTTGCTTTAAGCGAGATTACTCGCCCGATGCACCACTAACTTACATCCACTGATGTTGCGTGATTTCTGCCGGCAGAAGACAGGCAGCAGGCAGCAGGCAGCAGGCAGAAAAAGGCTACCAAATAAACAAACTTTCCATTAGCCAAATTGCAGTTTCGGCCTCTCCCGCTCTTGGCAGCGGATTATTGAATAA